TATATATATATATATATATATATATATATATATATATATATATATATATATACAAATATACATACAAATACAAATACGTGCAAAACAGAAGTCATAGAAGTGACTCAAATACTTTAGTGCAAAATACTTTATAATTACTGCTATTCATCTCTGTCTCTGTGCTTCTGTTCTTGGGAGAGGTGCAACACATGATGAGTTTCAGCATAGTTCATACTTCATCACATCTGTCAGGTTCAGAGTTCACTGACGGGAGGATTCCTGTGCTCGGACTTTATGTAGCAATATGGGGAGTAATCCTCATCCTCCGGGCTCTTGAACCACTTGGTGGGCACCTGGTACCCCTGCTCACTGGACTCGTCATCACTGGACGTCTCATACTCACATAGCGTTGGTGTGTCCTCTACGGTGTTCTTCTTCCAGTGCTTACCCTTAGCTCTCTGCTTTCCTTGCTCTTTTCCCTCATGAACTCTGCTCACACAGGCCCGGCAAATTCTCACCGGTCTGGAGGAGATGTTCGGTATCAAGGCCCGGCTCTTTGAGCAAGCTCTACATACTATATAACCGCATCTCCGGCAGTGGTGCCTCCGATTGGCAACGTTAAATCGCTTCGAGCAGCGCATACAGATGGCTGATGCCATGTCAGGGATCCAGGTGGCAGCAAAAAAGTTCTCTGCAGCATTGTCAGTGGGGAGGCCCTTAGCTTGCACTAGGAGGGACTTGTACTGCTCAATGTGTCCCATCCACGCGTTCTTTTCCTCAGGCGAGGCCGCCGACACGTAGAAAGACTTGCGTGGCGTGCGGATGAGCCATTGGTTGGGCATGGCCATTCCGTCTTCCAGATCTTCCTGCTGCACATCCTCCAAAGGAATGAGCTTCTGCTTATTGTTCCAGCGACCGGGCACCATGATGCTACCGTAGACCAAAATGTCATTGAAGAGGAAGAACACCTTGGGTTTGGGTCCACGTCTGCACAGCTTTGACAAGCAGCCCTCTCCAACCAGAATACGCCCCGGTTTGAGAAGCATCTTTCCTGTTCGGCCGAAGGTGCTCTCCACTGCCTGGATTCGCTCACGGTTCTGAATAGTAAAGGTCAGTTGTTCTGCCATTTTGTTACTGCCTGTAAAATGTAAAAACAATGAAATGGTCAATTTGATTTCGATGGACATGTAACCATTGGATGAATTTAACCTAAACATGTAGGTTTAGTTATTAATTCTTAACAGTACTTTCAAAGGACTTTAACCCGATTACTCTAATTAACGAAATTACACAATACACACACAAAATAAATGTTTAAACATCTTAAATATTAATTCAACAATACCCGATTGCTGTGGAAAGCAGTGAATTATCGCTGGGTAAACAGACTCAGTATCTGTTCGCAGTTCTTTTGTCCTTCGAGCTCCAATAAAAATCGTATAAAAATATTCCTCTGTGTTCGGCACTACAGATCTCTTCTTTCTCTGGGCAGGTTGTTCGAGACAGCCCTTTTATAGTGTTGTGAGCTTGTCTTTCCTGTTTGAAAAGGGGAAATTCCAGATCTGCTCTGCAGCCTCTACTATTTTAGAGGTGTAACCTTCCTTGTGCTTGACTGGCACAAACTAAGACACATGCTCAAGACATATAGATACAAAATAAAATGTTTTGACCTAACGTCATGTCACTAGAGTCCTGTGTGAAGAGGTAATATATGCGGCCAAGACATTATTTAGACCTCTTGTTCATCAAATTGAATGTGACACTTATAATAAGTGCTGTATTTTTTGCACACCTGTCTAATTTATTTCACAGATTAAGTTAATTAATTGATTTAAAGCTGAAATAAAAACATATATAAATATTAGATGAAAAACTTAACAAAAATTAAAAATATGTTGCCTTGGCAATGAACTAAAAGTTGAAGTACAAAAATGATTAAAATTAAAATAAAACCACATTAAATATTAAAATAAAATGCACAACCAAGACATTCATACAAGTAAAGCATAAATGTAATGTAGTGGCATTCTTTTCATCTAAAATTCCTGTTCTCAATACTGTTCAGATTTTTCCAATTACATTCTTTTATCGTAAAAATTATTTTTATGGGTCTTATTCAAATAATTATATGATGAAGAAAGATGTATTTCTTCATACGCAATTCCCATTACAGTGAAAAATGTGTGGGCTGAAGTGAACAATTAAGTCTATATTTGTTGTTTATCTGATAAACAGTATTGGCTTAGATAGCAGAGACCTCCATTATCAGATTTACAAAGCAATAGTCAAAACAACAACAGAACTTTGACCCTTAAACCAGTCAGAAGCCATAACCAGCCTAACAAGTTTTTGGAAAGAAATGTCTGCAAAGTGACTGTAAACAACAGGCTTGTTATATGTTCAAGGCCTATATGTTTAATGCACAGCACAACCTGAAACTTTACGTGCGACTTTTGTGTTTATGTTTTGTGTATAAAAAAAGAAAAGAAGTGATTTAGAGGAAGTGCACATCCTTATGATGCAACACTATTGACACAGTAATTTCAGAGGAGGAGACATTTAATGTAAGGACCTCTTTTCTCATAAAAGACATTGCACACCAGAATGATGAATGGACTTCATGTGAATTTGCAAGAATGACATCCATAGTTGTCTTATTTCAGTACATGACAAGCAGTCACAGTCACAGTCTCCTTTAACTCAAACACAGTCTTTACTCAAAATCTGCACTATGTGCTCTCAGAAAAAAAAGCACTAAGCAATAAATATAATCATTAAACAAACGCTTATGTATTTAATTAGAAAACCGGTGCTGTGTCTTGTACAGGAAGGAGGGATTTTTTTTACAAGAAGAGGCATTTACAAGTCAACTAACAAGGAAAAACCTTGACTAAGTATCAGGCCCAGTTTCAGTGTGGAAAAAAACGTTCCTTGTTTTGCAAGTGGGCAAATATTACAACATATACTTCAGTGAAACAAAACCACATAACTTATTCCATTTTTACTTGAAATGCTTTTAACTGAAATCTGACGTGGTGCTAGTTCAAGCTGGATTCTGAAAAACAACTGCTACTAACAGTACTTCACTTAAAGTTGTATGAAAATAAACATTATATAACCTAGTTAAATACCTCGCACTATGAAGAAATAATTGTACAATATAAACATTCTTAGAGTGGCTCTACTATCACATCCAACATTTACAAAAGAGTTTTGAAGATGTTTTTAAGGAAGAAGCACTTTTGTAGCATTTGGAGTGCTGCCTACCCCTGACGATATAATAAGGTCATTAATAAACAGTTTGTGGGAACCTTGTTTAAAAATTAAATGGCAGGTATGATTTAAAAAAAAAGGGAAAAAAAAGAAAGAAGAGGTCAAAATTCATTCTTACTCCCTTCTCCTCCAAAAGGGCTCCTCTGGTGGACAAGCAAAAGCAACTACTTTCCTAAATGGCCCATATAGTTTCATACCTGCTCAAAGCATAACAAAACAAGGAGTCATAACAATAAGAGGAAGCTAAAAAAAATCCATAATGATTAAATGTCTTCTCTTAATTCTCCAGTATGAGTCCACAGTTAAAGTTGACATGATGTTTGAAACGTCCCATTACAAGTCAATAGTTCCTTTTACTTTGAATTTCTTTGCTGACCGCTCACTGGAGCGCAGTTCAAACTTGCTGCCATAGATGTGTGTTACGAAATCACCAATCTCCACACTATTCCTCTTCGGGATAACTGCAAAAAGAGAGAGAGCAAGAGAGTAGGGGAAAAGTCAATATTCAAAGGAAATTAATGAAAAACATATGCTTGACAATGAATGAGCGACACTGTCTGAGAGGTTAAAGTTAATCAACAGTCAAACAAAAAAAAAGAGGAACAGATCTTTCTACACAATATATTTTGACAAGACTTTGTTCTCAGGTTCATTTGGCACAAGGGTTCTGAAAGGTGGCTAATGACTGCGAGGAAGAAGTTCGAATTATTTTCGTGACACAGAGAGAGGACTCACTTTCGGTCTGGAATAGGGCTGTCACGATCAAATTTTTACTAAACTATTACCATGGTCAACAACACATTCATGATATTCATATTATTGTGATATCTCTACAATAAATAATGTTCAAATTCATCTTTAACATGTCAACCAGAGGGTTACTGTAATTAATGTGTAAATTGTTATTTTTGGGTGAACTGTCCTTTTAACAGGGTATCAGTCTTAATTTGTTTAAGTATCAGGGTTATCATCTATACCAGTATTTAGTGAAACCCCTAGTCTGGACAATGATAAAAGAATAAAGTTTTACATACTGTTTTTTGACTTGATTACCATAGTGCATATAGCCACAGTAAAACCTTTATAGTTAACTGCAAATTTCTCATATTTCATTTGTTTTGGACTCACTGGCTGCACCTTCCTTTAGACTAATGGACAAAAGCTTGGTATGGCATCTTTGAGTACTGACATACAGTAGTGAAATGACGTGAACCTGTAAAAATAATGTATATTTACACATATACCTTTCAGTTTGTCCTCTTTTGTAATGATTTTGAAGACATGCTTCAGTTCCTGTACCAGGATGCCAGTTAGACCAACATACGAGGGGTATTTTGATCTGACAACTACAAGGAAAAGAGATGTGAGAGAGAACACGAGGTTCCACTACATGCTAAAAATATCACCATTAAATTGAATCAGGATATACCGCTGCTAAAGCAAAAATGTGTTCCTTTGTTCACAGACATTTTCTAATGGGCATGACGTTGTACCTGTTAAGACAGCACCATGGAAATCAGCTTTCAAGAGCTTCTGCTGGATCATCTGTGGGTTGCTGCATTCAAAAGAAACAGGGAGCACATTCATGGAGCGTTAGCAAGACTGGAAATGAAATTACACCCAAAAAGTCAGAAATTCTAAAGAACATCTTCTGGAAATTATGACACACATCTTACCTTCCTGGTTTCAATTCATTACACAGATCCACAATGTACTGTTTCCATAGCTCATGCAGAGGCAAGACAAGTATATATATCTACAATCATTACCAAAGATGCATGAGTGATTTTAGTGATAAGCAGTACTTTTACTCACATGATACAATACTACTAGTGAAAGAGAGTATACTTTTGATGTGCAGGTTTGAGCTGGAATATTTTCAGCTGTCTATTTTCTTTGGTATTCAGTCCCTTGGCCTTTCTTGTCTTTCCCTTCTTCTTCTTTGGTCTTTTAAATTCCAGTACCACTGCCTTGTGCACCATCATTTCCTCAATGTCTTCATCCTTCATTTGGGGAAGGCAATTCCTTAGGAATGTTTTGGTGAATGCATCCGCTGCCGCTCCTTGTTGAGACTGTGAAAAGTGACATTGAGCAACATATTGAAAAGTTTGTAAAGTTTTTGTACATCGGAACAGTGTGAGTGCATCTGCATCATTAAACTGTTCCATGATTTCAAATCTTTACAGATCCAAGGAGCCCCCATGCAGAGCCCCAATATAAACACTCAGTAACACTTTACATATGAACAGATTTAACAGAATTAATAGCATTTTTACACGATGGAACAGCATGCATGAGGAAAATAATGCTAATGATAATCAACGGGAGTCACCTCAACTCCCAACATTTCGCTTTGCTCTGATGGGATTCGGGATCGCACCACACCTGGGAAAGTGAAAGTAGTTAAAATAGTATATCTCAATAAATTAGAATGTCGTGGAAAAGTTCTTTTATTTCAGTAATTCAACTCAAATTGTGAAACTCGTGTATTAAATAAATTCAATGCACACAGACTGAAGTAGTTTAAGTCTTTGGTTCTTTTAATTGTGATGATTTTGGCTCACATTTAACAAAAACCCTCAATCAATTCAATCAAATTAGAATACTTCATAAGACCAATAAAAACATTTTTAGTGAATTGTTGGCCTTCTGGAAAGTATGTTCATTTACTGTACATGTACTCAATACTTGGTAGGGGCTCCTTTTGCTTTAATTACTGCCTCAATTCGGCGTGGCATGGAGGTGATCAGTTTGTGGTACTGCTGAGGTGGTATGGAAGCCCAGGTTTCTTTGACAGTGGCCTTCAGCTCATCTGCATTTGTTGGTCTCTTGTTTCTCATTTTCCTCTTGACAATACCCCATAGATTCTCTATGGGGTTCAGGTCTGGTGAGTTTGCTGGCCAGTCAAGCACACCAACAATACTGGGCTTGAAAATACCGGTATCGGGTCGAAAATAAAATACGAGCAGTGTTGCCAACTAATTTTCAGGGGAAGTTGCTAAAGGCAGATCCGTTTGTTGCTAAAAGTTGCTAAATGTCATTGTGATGTCATTGCGTGATGACGTCATTGCATAACCATGACACAAAACAGCATATTTACTTAGAATACACAACGAGATTACTCAAATCTCAGTGAAAAATATATTTTTTAAATGTTATTTGTTCATAAAAATATTATAAACATAAAATATTTTAATTTGTAAAAGTAACATAAGTAGCACACCTTTATGATCGGATTTTTTTTTACAACATTGAATTATTGAACAGTTACACATTTTATGTATTTTAATATTAACTAGTAAAACTGCACATTCTGAACAATTATAGTTTTAAGCAGTGTACTGGTAGTTAGTTAGTGTGCTACACAAAAGTGTGTAAAAATAGGACACATGTACTGTTTATATGAAGGAACATTATGTATTTATTTTTCCACATATTTTTTTCTTACAGTGTACCTATATGAACAACAATTATATATACAAGCTAATAACATGCTGTATCATAAATGTGCATTTATTATTGACCAATTGGAACTAGCAACTTAATGCACATTTGATGTTTGTACTGTTAGGCATCTTTCTCCAGCTCTCTCCAGGTTGATGTGCTGCTTGGCTGGCTAGCTGTTCAATGGTTTCCTCTTTTTGTGTAATTTAGATGGAAATATGTGCCTTTTTTATCATTTGAGTCACTTTGCAAAAGTAAAATAGCTAAATTTGTTGCTAAGTGCTTTTTGAAAAAAAAGTTGCTAGGGTAGTTTGAAAAGTTGCTAAATCTAGCAACAAAATTGCTAAATTGGCAACACTGAATAAGAGGTATGGCCCATCCCTAAAAATCACACGTGCTGACAGGACAGAGGAGCTGATACCCGATTCAGACCCGTACGATATATTTACACTCTACAATAAGCATAAATAATACTGTGAAGATGATTTATGTCTTGTTATATGGTGAGTATGTTGTACTACTCCGTCTCTATTCACGATGAAGTCACGATGAAACAGACGTGCAGACAGATCTTTACTGTCACAAGATATAACATCCAGTTATGACAATTTTGATAAGAAATTATGAGGTACAAATATTCATAACGAGATCTATAACATACTTTTAGAGTTTTCAATTCATGCGACTTTAAAAGGGTTTAAAGTGTGTGCAGTGTCCCTTTAAGAGTGTGTCGGTTTGTTCCACCCCTTGAGTTTATTGGGCTCTTAATCTGCTCCGCCCAGGCAGCGTTTGAAAATAGTTACAAGTCAAGGGAGGAGACCGACAGTTAGTTGATAACTTAGTTAAATAAACCCTTATATTGATATCTATCCCTCGTTTACTTTAGCTAGATTGACGGTTTAAGCTTCAGTGATGTCTGAGGAGCTTGTGTGTTCAAAGCCGGAGGAGGTGAGGAACGCCGAGACAGAAAACAGCGTAGAAATCGTTATCACACTGACCAGTGAAGATCCACCAAATAACGTTAATCAAGATCATAACGTCAACCAACTGTCAGAAAGAGAGGCAGAGACGGTCTGCAATGAGATCAGACCAAGCCACAGTCTGGTTTCAAAAGGTTTGTGATGTTTACACGGTATATGAATGTAACTGTGATTTCTGTGTGACCTCTTACATATATAAAGTTACTTTATGTCATTTGCTCCCATTAAATAAAAATATGAATCCAGTGTCTAGATTTGAGTCTGCTGTTTGTTTGTTTATTCGTTTAATTAATATAAAATTATCCAAAATACTTTTGGATATTGGATGCAAGTCTGTAGGCCGCTTTATTAAACTTCCATTGCTGATGTATATTGTTTTTAGAGTTATTTCCGACAGAAGATGATGATGATGACAGCGGCACCCATTATCTGAATAGTGATGAGAGACCATGTACTCATCTACAGCGAGCAGAGAGGCCAGGAAATGGAAAACTGCAGGACACCTTCCAGACAGACCATCTTCTGTACTATGAGAGATTCAAAGCATATCAAGATTACATGCTTGGTAACCATCCAAACACTTCTGACAGACACCCACAACAGTAAATGAGTTAATACGTGTGTTTATAAACCTGAGTTGTTTGACAGGTGACTGTAAAACATCTGAAGTAGAAGCCTTCACGGCTGAGTACCTGGAGAAGATAGCGGAGCCATGTGATTGGCAAGCCATATGGCACACTGATGTGTTTGATGTGCTGGTTGAAGTAAGTTCATTATAGCATGCATTTTGGGTATTTACTGTTAAAACATGAAAATATAATGCTTATGATTGAAGCATCTGCACAAGGGAGTGTTTAGAAAGCTGAGGGTTGTTGTTGTAGGTTGCTGATGTCGATTGTAAGGAGCTGAAGGCAAAGGTGGAGCTGGTGCTGCCGATGGAGTGTGAGACCAGAGGCTGTGATCTTACTGAAGAGTCCATGAAGGCCCTGCTGGAGGCTACACTTCATAAAGTGCCTATTCTTGAGCTCTCGGTTGTCTATGATGAATCTGGGGACTTTGATCAGACTGCTTTGGCCCTAGAACATCTCAGGTTGGTTTACTCTTTAAAGGTATATTTGTTTCCCTATTTTTGAGCAGCCATGCTATTCAGTTTATGTTGGTAGTCCAACAAACATGAAATAACAATGAACAATAGTAGAATTTATAGGAATGATTTATAGTAGGAAGTAGGGATGTCAATTTTCTATCATTTCCATGATCGATCGTCATTTAAATTAACGATTAATTAATCGTTAACCTTAATGCTGCAAAATGCGTCTATGCAGCCCGGCATGACAGGATGTACAAAAGTTACTCAAACCCCCCCCCCCCTTTCTCACCCGAATTAAAGGGGTTTTAGTCTGAATAAAATGCTAGTAGCAGGATTGTAAATGAATAGATGTGATAATGATCATTTGATAAAATGAAGAGAGCGCGCCGTACGTTTGAGATCATTTTACTTTGTTGACTGTAGGGATGGAACGATTACCGGTTTCACGATAAAATGCCCTGACGGTTAGTATTATCGTTTAAAATTTAATTATCATCAAAACCGTGTTTGATTATCGCGAGCCAGCATCAGTCTGACGCAGAAGCAGCATGCAATGTTGTTGTTGTTGTTTTTTGCACGAGAGGAAATGGCGGAAGGCAGTGACAGCGCTCGGGAGATTTTTCAGCCATTTAAGAGGACCAAATCGGTGGTCTGGTCGTATTTTGGCTTTTACAAGAGTCCTGAAGGCAATTTAATCGAGGACGGTCACCCTGTCTGCTGATCTTGCAAGAAGAAAGTCGCTGCAAAAGGGGGAAACGCATCAAATTTTCTCCGTCATCTTCGTGACCGCCACCCACTGTTAAATAGCGAATGCAAGGTAACTTTTACCTCAATACCAAAACTAACTGGGCAAATAATTGGACAAAAAATATTGATTAGAGATTAAATATTTCGTTATCTCACTTATTGAACGCAAAGCTTTCGCGAAGAAAAGTTCGCAGCAAGTGGCTTTGAGCCAAGACGAACGAACGGTCAAACTATAAGGTTGACATTTAAGGGATAATGTATTGTATATTCATAGTTAACTTATTACACAGATTTGTTTTTGTTTACCTAAAATAATATATAAACACGGGCATATTAAATATTGAATTGAGATTAATGTTTTGAAATCTTTCCGGGTTATAAATCCATTATGAACAGTGTACAAAACAATCGTCAGGACAATCTGATCACTAAAGCAAAATTATAGTAGTATTAATACTAAATTCCTCTGATTTCATTTTCAATACAATC